TTTTCCAAACTGCGGTATACCATGAAAACGATTATTGTCCCATGCCAATTTACGAGCGATTTGTTTTTCAAATTTTTTCTAGGTCGTAGGCAGACCAGTAGTTTTTGATGTGAATGCTCATTTTCTGCTGGAGATACAGTTGCTATTAAAATATACAGAAAATAATAACTTGTAATTTTTTTTATTAAAAAAACAAACAAACTTAGGAATAAAATAAAATAGGAATACGTGTAGGATAGGTTTAACAAGATTTAGCGGTTTCAAAACTTTGAGTTTTCCAAACCATTGTAAACCTTGAAATCTGTTATTCCCCTATGCCTAGTTTTGACTGATTTTCTCATCCATCTAAGTAGGACTGATTAGATGACAATACTGTAAAAAAAAAAATTAAATAAAAAAAAAATTTAAAAAAAAGAGGCAATAATGAAACTGAGGAAAATATATGAAAATGATCATAATATGGGCAAATGTAAATTATTAATATCATTATGCTAACAACTGATATAAAAAGTAGATTGGTTTCAAAAGAACTTAAATTGACTAATAAAAAAATACTAAAATCATAAAATGTAATATAAAACAATGTGCCAAAGCACTGCTGTTTTATAGATCTTTTACACTTATAAATTGTATTCATTGTCAGGCATGACAAAACGTGAACAGCTTTTAAAAATAAAAATAAAAATAAAAATAGAGACTATGTTTGATTTCTGTCTATTTGTCTGTTCATGTGAAAGACGTTTTGGCTGGGAAAAATCATAAGTATGTGACATCTGCATGTGCACCTTTCAGCCTCTCTATTAAGAAATATTTTCAAATGACATTATATAATTTTACTGAAAATGGAAATTCAATATTGTTCATTCATTCATTCATTCATTCATTCATTTTCCTTCAGCTTAGTTCTTTTATTCATCAGGAGAATAAACCGGCAAATATTCCAGCATATGTTTTAAACAGCGGATGCCCTTTCAGTTGCAACCCCCTACTAGGAAAAATTTGATATTAAATATTTTAAATTAAGTTATAAGTAATATTTATATGAACTTAAATTATTTATTTATAATTCATTTATTATTAATATAATATATATGACTATAAATAATATATAATTGTTTTCCCCCCAAAAAAAATTTTTTTGTTTGCAAGAATATAGAGTATATGCCTTTATTACCATTGGTCCCCAGTAATTAAATGTATGCATGTATTTAAAAGGTCCATTAAAAATTTGCGAGAGAATTTACAAAAACACAAGTCTGTGTGAATGCAACTGTTTGAAACTTCAACTAAAGGTTGTGGTGGAAACTGACCGAATTTCTAGTGCTGTCCTCGTCGCTGTCCTCATTCTCTGAGGGTTTCTCATATGCCTCCTCCACACGACTCACTTCATCCTCTCCATAACTCGCAGATACCAAACCACGAGATTCTGTGGAAAAAATAAGCTTTTTCAGTTCTCTTCAAAAACAATCAAAAAATGAACTTCCCATCAATTACAATGTTAATTTCTGTAATATCAGGGGGTGATCCAACATTATACATATTCAAAAGTAACTTATTTATTCATTTATTTACTTTAAACTCCAATGGCTTTGACACCAGATACACATTATAGCTATCTTAATCACAATCTCTGAATAAATTATAAAAGACATTGCAATTAACACTAGACAAAAAATCTGATAACTTTTTAAAAACAGTTAAACATCTCTGAATAAAACCATTATAATTGATCATTTGAAGGGAACGCAGTAGCCAATATGTTTCAATATAAATGCATGTTTAAAGGGCACACAATGACAGTTTTAAAAGCACAAAATGCATTTAATCTACAATTTTGTTTCAATTCTCATTGCTTTAATGTATTTTACATAATATAGCTTAAACTATTGAGGTAAAGTTGGTTTTAAATTCACACATTCAAACTTTCTCGTTAATAATATAATTTAGGAAAATAATTCTTTGCCATTTCTAAATAGTTAAATCATTTTAGGAGCCAATAACTATCAAAGTACAACATTGTTCACAGTCAAATAAATAGTGCAAAGGTTGTTTTGAAATCATACTTGCATGTAATTTCCCACTGAATATTCAAAGTACTATGGTAAACAACATAAGAAGCGTGTGACAAGTTATCACTAAACTATTATTATTACCTCAATATTTGCTTAAGCTAAGGATAACTCAAACAATTGAAAATATAAAGTCATTTTTGTTTTACAGTGTGACCAGAAGGTACAACAAAAATTGTTCCCTCTCGCTCTCTCTCAAACATATAAAGATTCTTTGATAAAGACAGTACGACATAAGATTAAAATGATCAACACAATGCAAGTTTGTGATAAAAAACAAAAAACGTGAGCTTAGAAATCTCACCTTTATTGGAAAGTAAAATCCCACTGAAGATACCCGTTTTTGTTTCAAGCATAAACTCAGTTAATTATTCATAGTTCAATTCTCAGAAAGCTAAATCAATGTTAAACTAATGTTTAGAAGTTTATTTTATTCAAAAGCAAAACCTGTGAAGGAACATAAGGATTTTTTTATGGTCACAACTTGATTTTGAATTTTAACTTCATGACTTTCTGCTCTCCCTCAGCATGTTATAGATAATTTAACTGTTAACGGTAAATAACAGCTTTTAAAATGCCTCATAATATTATATTGAATATAGAAGATTAAAAAAAACATAATACATAAAAGCAGAGGTGTGATTTAACACCTAGACAAATATTTGTACAAAAATATTGACAAATCGTTACCTTAGAATTATAAGGATCTATCTGACATTTTTGTCACATTGAGTTATTCACATATTCTTATTAAATGACAACTTATTTACATTGTGATTTTTTTATAATTTATAAAAAATTGTTTACTTTTTTGTTTTTTAAATAAAAAGTGTTAAAACGGTTTTATCTACAAAATCAAACTCTATCTTGGCTCCATAAGGTTCTTTCTGTGAGCCAATTAGCATTTTTAATGCACGCACGAGGACCAATCAGGATAAGCTTTCTTTGTCATATCGCTGGACTGCTCCGTTGACAGCGGGAAACACCAGGAAGACAAAAATCACACAAAATCAGAGTCGGCTAAATAATGCCGCACCACATAAAATTGAGGCGTATGATTGATGATTTAGAAGCATTTTTTGACATTGAGATGAAATGTTAAATTTTCTATCGTTGAAAAAGAAACAGTTATTTTAAAACAATTTTATATACTGTATCAAATGTGTGAACTAATTTTATTTGTGCATATAAAGTCAGTGAAATATTTTTCAGTGTTTATTAAACTCATTTGCTCATTGTCTGTTTTCTTTTAAAGTCTTTAAATTTAATATAAAGCCTTGAAGGGCAAACACTTAATTGAATTCATGGGACATTATTCAATAAATAAAGTTCAATAGTTTATATAAAGCATAAAATTTAGTAAATATTAGCATATTAATTAGATAAAATTAACAGCTGCACTGGACAAAATATTTAGCACAGCCTTGTATGCTTAATCTGAACAAGAAAACAATATTCATCCTATAACATGAAATGTTATAAAAAGCTAAAATTTACCTTTCGCAAGAATCAACATAGTCACAACACCAATTGGTATATTTTTGATTCTATTTCTGGAAAAATAATGCTACAATAAATGGTCTGTCAGATAGAACCTTATAATACGAAGTGGAAAATTACTTTTCAGAATAAGAAGGTTCTATCTGCATTTTCCAATTTGCAAATTTAAGAGAACTTTGATCATTTACATTTAGAGTACATTTAGAGTCTTTGTTATGTTAATGTATGAAAGAGAACTGTTCCACACATATTGTTTGCTATACTAAATGCGAAAACTTTGAAGCTCAAAATCTCAAAATCATTTAGAACGCTGATAGAACCTTACAATTCCAAGGTGACTAAATGTATTTGGGTCTTAAACACACATGAATTGGACAGATTAAACCTGAAGTTGGTTTCATATTCACACGTTCGTTCAGTGACCGCTTGTAACACAGTGCCTATATTGTTTACCATACTGCTTTGAATATTTGGTCAGAAATAACATACAAGTGTGACATCAAAACAACGTTAGCACTATTTAACTGACTGTGAACATGGTTGTGCTTTGATATTTTTTGGCTGCTAATATCCTAATATATAACTTGCCTATTTAGAATTTGCAAATAATACATTTAAAAAAAAAAGATATTTAGGAAAAAGTCTGAATGTTCAAAATATAAAACCAACTTTAGCCTAATATTGGACAGCTACAGCAACAACACTTGTTACTCCTGTAATCCTTAACTAACAACCAATAAGACATCAATTTCTCATATGACTTGCACCATTTTATTTGGCATATTGGGAACTACCGCCAATTTTACTGTTGTAACAAAAATATTAGAATCTTAAACTTATTTATTTAATCTTAAAATTAAAAGTCAAATGAAGATGTTTTTAATTATATATTTTCACCTAAGTAAATAAAATAGGCCACAACGTACTGCTCTCTACAGTACCCACCTGTAATCTTTAAACCTTACAAATGTAAACCCTCACAAACCCAGCCATAAAGAAAATATATTGTTTTGAGCGCATAAAAGTAATATGGCTCACAATGCAAGTTATTTCCAAATGAATACATTCCCTGCATTACTGTCAGTTGTCGTGCCGCTTACGTTCAACACACTGACAACAAACCCATACGAGTAACAAACTCGAGGTATTCACAAGCTTTTGCTAACATTTATCAGATGATTTACCTTGATCATCTGTGTCTGGATCTGAATCCTGCTCTGAATCGTCTCCATAAGCGGCTAGTGAAGAAATAAGTGCACTCTTTTTGCTGCTCGCCATGTTCAGCGCTGTCGCACGACAGTGACGTTACGGTCTATATCCGGTCTGCGCGTGCTCAGAGGCTTGAAACGAGCCGAACGGGTTGTTACTAAAAGAGATACAGCTGCGTCCGGAAGTTAACGAGAATTGATTATATTACTGATTAAATTACCTAAAAGTTTTATTTTAATAACATCTTCCCCTACCACAATACTAAACCCAAATCTTACTGTAATGTAAAAAACAGTAATTATACTGAAAATTATTCATACTATTTTTAACTTACTCATTAAAATAGATTTTATGAGCGCCTACCCCTGCCACAACCCCAAACGCAACCTTCAAAGTAATTTAAAAATATTAATTATTGTTGTACAGTGTCACAGAAATTATGCTATGCTGACGTGAGTATCCGCAGCTGTATCCTATTTAAACTTTGCCGAAACTAACGTCGCTTAAAATACGCAAGCCTGTTTGGTTTCCATAGGTTACCACGACGCTTTTGGAAATTTCATACAGACGAGCAAACTTTTCTTGGGAGTTTACGCTTTAAAGTGAAACGATAGTATCTAAATTGTGGTAATTATTGTGGTATCTATTACATATTTAAAGTGTAATCCGTAAATATAATGAAATTATAGTAAATATGCCACCCAAACGGAATAAAAGTAGTACTCCGTCCGGAGCAACTCCAACTGGGGCAGGCGCTGCTAACAAAAGCTGGGAGACTTCTCTTTCTGCGGCTGTATTTGAGGAGGTAAAATATAAATTACCTATATCATGTTAAAACTGTTGTTCTTCTTCAATAGCCTGTATTTTCTAGATCATCTAAGATATTTAATCTTTGTCCATGAAAATATATAGTTTTAATAGTTTTTTTTATAATAATATTGTTAATAGTGTTATCATTCAATCAATTGATTAAAAACAAGAAATTATAAACAAATTACACAACTAAATCCTTAAAATATATAATACAAATAAATTTATAGTTGTCCCGTTTCTGTCAGTCCTGTCACATCACATTTGCATTAAATTAATAATAAAATGCATGCAATACACCTATAAGCACGGAGACGGAGAAAAAGCTGACAGTGCTCAATGATGCAGTCTATCATTGAATTGTATGATTTTCTGAGGACGACAAGTCAGGCCCTGTCACCTTTTTTATAAATGAAAATGTTCGCTTCTGGTAGAATTTCTCCTATTTGACAGTGTTTATAACACTTTGTTAATACATTTTACAGCATATTGTAGAATTAACTATCACAAACTGATCAACTGTAACGTAATGCTGTGGTATACACTGAACTGTGATGTATGGTAGACATAATTTATATAGCTGTAGAAAATCTAATACTTTATTGGGTCATTTGTTGTATTATTACCACAGCTACTCTAATTATAGAGTAATTATTTAATACTACAACAGATTAAAACTTTACAATATTCAAAAACACTATAATATTTACTACAAATGACTATTGTTTTTTTATGTGGGCTTTTATTAATTAGTCATTTATTAAGCCTCATGTTGCTTAATGGCTGATTGAATGAAAAATTCTACTTTATACAATGCAAATTTTTTATATTTGCGTTAAAGGACTGGAAAATATTTTCTTCTCTTATTCATCTCTGACTCTAGAATGAGTGGAGGGCCAGTCTGTCTGTAGTGCAGGTGGAGAAAGCAGAGGACGAACAGCTCATCGGTTCCCTAGTGCAGGCGGTCCAACAGCCCATGCGCAGGCTCTTCAGTGTGCTGTCCTGGGAGGACACTCTAGAAAAGGTCTGAAATATAGTTCATGTCCAGTGATTATTCATGTCCAAGAGTAACTATATTTTATTACATGTTAAAAAAAAAAAAAAAAATGAATCAGCTGCTGTTTTTGTGACGCAGATCAATGAACTGGGAAACCCAAAGACAAGAAAAACCAAAGATGTTCCCATGTTTTTTGAGGTGGGTAAACATTAGAGTTACAGTCACTGGCCATTTTATTAGGTATTCGTGATTGCTAACAATTGTTCATGCAAATCACATAGCAGCAAAAAATGCATTTATGCACAGAGATGGATGTTCTGCTAAAGTTCAAAATAAATATCAGATCGGCAATAAGTCATTTTATATACATTTAATTTAATAATTTAATATAAACATTTAATAATAAATGTTGCCTGGTTGTTGGTACCGGACGGGCTGTTCTAACTTCTGAGTATTTCACAAATGTTGAGTCTGCTGTGAATTTACAGAGACTAGTAAAGATATGTGGGCAAAACCGATAGAAAGGCAAAGGTTGCAGTACTAAAAAAAACTACTGGTTACAACTGAGGTCTACAGAAGAGCATCTCTGGATGCATAATATGCCTCCAACTTTGAAGCAGATGAGCAACAGCAGCAAAGTCCACACCGATCCCATTCTTAGCTAAAAAACAGAAAACAAGGCTACGATTCAGATTTGTGCACAAAAATTGAACAACAGATTGAACATAAAATTGAAAATAATTTCCTGGTCTACAATTTCTACAATTTTCTACAAAGTCTCAATTTCTGCTGAGACAGTCAGATGGTAGGGTTAGAATTAGGTGTAACCAACGTAAAATCATGTATCTGCATTGTAATAAAGATATTGTTCACCCCAAATGAAAATGTATTCACCATTTACACTCCCTCTTGTGGTTCCAACCAATTATGACAAGTTACTTTTTTCCACTTACCACAAAAGAAGATATTTTTTAAATTGTTGGATATTGATAGCACTTTGAAGAAAAAAAAATACTATGTTAGTCAACAATTTGCAACTTTTTTCAAAATATATATATATATTTTTTGTTTTTTAGAAGACAGAAACTCAAACATGTTTCGTACAAGTGGAGAGTCAGTAAATGATGAACTAAGAATTTTAATTTTTAGGTAAACTAACCTTTTAATGGTTCATGGCTGCTGCTGGAAGTTTTATGGTGTGTGTGGGATATTTACAGGCACACTTTGCTACCAATTGTACGCTGTTTATGGAGAGTATTATTGCTGCCATGTCAATCTATTTATAATGACCATAGTAGATCTTGTTATGGCTACTTCCAGCAGTATAACAAAGCATGTCACAAAGCTCAAATCATTACAAACTGGATTTCTGAGCATGACAATAAGTTCATTGCTGGAATAGCCTACACAAATCTCATAATCATTACCAAAATCCCATATTATTTTGTTCATGCATGGTTTCAGCATTATGTAAATTGTTGTTCTTTAGGTGACGGAAGTTGCAAAGGCTGTGATGGATGCTGGAGAGGAAATGACAGTGGATCTAATAGCAAAATTAATAAAATTCCAACTACTGATCATCAAAAACACTGACGTTACAAGGAGGGCCTCTGAGCTAAAAGTGAGACTGATTTTAAAAAGATTGCAATTTGTTAAAGTATATTGTGTTATTATTCTTTATTATGAAGAAATTTACACTGGATTTCTGCTGTATAATACAAAACAACTTTCTACACAGTGATAACTGATAGTGTTTAAATTTTTGTGAATAATAGTGTATGCAACAAATATCAATAACAGGCATGTCCAAGCTCGGTCCTGGAGGGCCAGTGTCCTGCAAAGTTTAGTTCCAACCCCAATCAGACACACCTGGGCTAGCTAATCAAGTTCTTACCAGGCTTTCTAGAAACATCTTTGCAGGTGTGTTGAGGCAAGTTGAAGCTAAAATCTGCAGGACATCGGCCCTCCAGGACCGAGTTTGGACACCCCTGATCTATAACATGCCTGAGAAGTTATGTTTTTCTTTAATTGAGTTAAAGATTACATATTTATTTAGCAATAAATTAATTCTAATCTACAGTAGAAGAGTGTGCTTATGTTTTTTTTTTATTAACTATTTCTTAGATAAATAGTAACACAGAATATGAATATTTCAGGCCGTAGAGGAGAATGCTCATGTTAAAGTAGGACTGAATTCTGCCAATAAAGATCAGGGAGGTAAAGGAGCAGCAAAGGGGAAAAAAGTGGCTGACATTCCAGTTCCAACCAAAGACACCAAACTCAAACGCAGGGGGGAGGAGGAAAACACAATCAAATATATAGGTGAGGCATGACCACAGTTAACTAACCACCTTTATCAAAAAACAAGTCTGGTTTTGCACTGTTTATAGTGTTTTAATGTTCTCTTTAAACATGTCTGTCTAGATGATGAGCCTGATGATGGTCCACAGCAATACATTCTGATAGTGGGATTCTATGAACCCCTTCTGATTGCAGTGCTGGACTCAATGGGTATCCATGTGTCCAATGTTATTAAACTGGGTTTACAGAGAGATGAACATTCAGAGGCTCTAGAGGACACAGAGGCAGAGGAGGATCACCAGTCAAATGAAGACCAGGGCAAGATACTGTTTTTACATATATGTGTTCTGTTATAAATAACACAGTGCATGGAGAATGGTGGATTTGGTATTGTGATGTAGTTGAGAAGGCTATTTTACATTTGTATGGATTTAAAAGATTCTCATTTTAACATTTCATCTGTATAGAAGTTGAGACTCTGAAGCAAAAAAGACAGCAGGAGCTAGATGTTTTCTGGAAGCAGTTGGATCAAGTCTTGAACAGTGAGAATATGGGATCCAGACTCAGTCATGTGGCCAGGTTGAACTATATTGTGAAGAGCCAGCTGCTACCCCAGGCTAAGTGTAACACTGAAGCAATGGAAAATAGAGATCAAGTACACATTTTTTGAACCACATACACTGTCAAAAAAGTTCTAAAAGCTGTTTTTTGCAGCAATGCCATGGAATCCATTTTGATTCCCAAATGAACCTTTCAGTCAGAGTTCTTAAAAGAACAAGAACATTTTAATGATCTAAAGGCCCTTTTTCAACTTTGAAACCATTTGTGGAATGAAAATATTCTATAGATGTCAATGAAACCGCAATTGCCAATAAATAAAGCTTATATATGATTTTATAATAACAATAATTAATTTTGTTGCAATGTGTTAAGCCCTTGTCCAGATCATTGTATGTGAAGTAATACAGACATTTCTACATTATGACGTTTTGATTCCATCTGTCATCCTCTACTGTCTGTAGCTGGCATTTGGAGCTGCTATATTTGAAGGGGTGGCATGTTTGGTGTATGACAGCCTGGACTGGAGGAGACAGTACTGCCATTATCTCAGCAGCATGAGGCTGATTCAAGTGCCAGCGGCCTGCAAATCCGGCAGTCCCATCCAGCAGTCCCGACCACAGAGCTCCACTGAGGTATACAACCACCGTTACTAGTAGTAGTGCTGGTAACTTATAATGTAATCTAATGTGAATTTATATAGTGCACTTTATTGTTTATGTACACCCAAAGCGCTTCACAATCATAAGGTGGGGTTTGTCTCTCTATACCACCACCATTGTGCAGCATCCACTTGGATGATGTGACGGCAACCACAGGACAATGGTGCTAGTGCACTCACCACACATAAGCTATTAATGGAGTGGAGAGACATAGAGACAAATTTGGTGGATGGGGATGATTGGGGGGCCACGATTGGTAAGGGCAGATGGAGAGAATTTGGCCAGGACACCAGGTTTACACCCCTACTCTTTACAAGAAGTGCCATGGGATATTTAATGACCACAAAGAACCTCAGTTTAACATCTCATCCCAAATACAACAGCACCCACTGGCAGTAAAGTGTCCCCTTCACTTTACTGAGGCATTAGGACTCTCACAGACTGCAGGTTGAGTGCCCCCTGCTGGCCTCACTAACACCACTTCCAACAGCAACCTTGTTTTGCAATGTGGTCCCCTATCTAAGTACTGACCAGGCTCAGCTTAGCTTCAGTGAGTAACCGGTCTTGGGCTGCAGGGTGACATGGCTGATTAGACATTTCTCAGATTACTTGGCAGGATGTACTTGTTTCTTGTTGCTGATATTTGAAATTGATTATGTTTTAGGTTGTACAAACACCAAGGAAGAAAGTAGCGTCAGAGGAAGATCCTGGTATAAGACAAGGTACACTGATTCTCAACTTTGGTTTATATAGTACTTGATTAACAATTAATACATGTTAATACATGGCCACACTGGTGATTAAATCCTAAAGGTCAAAACAATAAAAGTGGAATGCAGCTTTAATTATTTTCCATGTGTTAGAATTAGACCTGTTTATGTATATGTATATACGTTATGTCATCTTTAAATTGTAAAAGCAAAACTCAAAAAATAAATATTCAAAAAAAAAAAAAAGAATTTGACCTGTTTAATTTTAACTAGTAAAAATAATGACTATCATTCACATTTTTTAAACACAGTTAATAGAAGACAGCCATTACAAAGTAATTTAGTGTAACAATAGTTTTTATATCAAAACATTTGACAGGCATGTTTAGAACAAGAAAGACTTTAATAAACTCAAATTTATTATGACACTGATTAAATGTAATTACAAACTTAATGTTGGGATTTTTAATAATTTCAATAAAGAATCATTTAGTATGTTTGCTTATAATCGTTCATTCAATTTCCTTCGGCTTAGTCCCTTTATTCATTAAGGAATTACCACAGTGGAAGTAACCACCAACTTATCCAACATATGTTTTACACAGCGGATGCTCTTCCAGCTGCAACCCAGTACTGGATCATACACTCATTCACACACATACACTATGGCCAATTTAGTTTATTCAATTCACCTATAGCGCATGTCTTTGGATTGTGAACCCACGTGAACATGGGGAGAACATGCAAACTCCACACAGAAATGCCAACTGATCCAGCTGGGACTCGAACCAGCTACTTTCTTGCTGTGAGGTGACGGTGCTTACCACTGAGCCACCGTGTCGCCTTACTTATACTCATTGATATGTTTTTCATTTACATCGAATGATGATAGAACTTTGATTTACAGATATTTGGATGTTCTTCTTGCATTTTTTAATTTTTCATATGATACAGACACAAAATTGTATTATTTATTAAATTAAATGAAACTTAACCATTGTGTTTCTTTCACAGAACCAGAATCTCCTGTTCTGAGCACAGAGGTTGATATGAGATACTACTGTGACCTACTGAACAGGGTTCCTGCTGAAATCACATCTGTACCACTTATATTACACTGCATGCTGGAGCAGGTGAGGGAAATTTTACAATGACAACAATCGACTTCAAAGAGATATATTTTCAATGCATTGAGAATGTGAGTGCACAAAATAAAGTCCAAAGAGCTTTATATCTAATCATAAAACTAAGCTGCAACATCTGTGCACTGGCTTTATGATCAAATGGGTAAACATGCAATACTAGAGACACACTGTTCACAAGTGATTTCTTTGAAAATGTGGCTGGTAAACTTGTCCTGTGACTTCCTGTGTGATGTTTAGGTTTTAGCCTCAGAACAGGAAACCAAAGCAGGATTGTGTGATTCAGAGGAGCGCTTTAATAGATCAGACCAAGATATCATGAGTTACATGCTCTCATCTGTGCTGAGTCTGCCACAGGACGAAGAGCAAAAGAAGGTAAATAAATTGCCTAAATGAATCTCATTATTAGTACAACAACCATAACAAATAAAAGTGGGTTTCAAAATCGATCTATAATTGCCATAAAATCTATTTGTGCAATGGCAGGAATTAATGAAGGATCTAGGGATGAAGGACAGCTCCATAAGTACTAATCAGAAATGCAGAAACACTCTCCTAATCAATCACCATGATGAGAGAGCAAGGAGACTCCAACCACTTCCTGTGAGCATGTGAATGCACAAAATGACATTATAAAAATGAATACGAGCCCTGTTTACATCTATTAAGATTCACTTTCGCCAGTTGTGAACAAAACCAGATGCTAATAGGGTCTAAAATTGCTTGAGCTTATAGTTTTTTTATCAACTACACTGTAAAAAACAACAACTCAAAATTGTAAGGCAACTTGCTGCAGAGCTTATTTCAGTTGACTTCACTTTCAACCCAAGTACTGCACCTGACTCAATTTAAGTTGAGTAAGCTCAAAAGGTTGGTTGAAGCTAATGCTGGTTGCCTTAAAATTTTAAGTTGAGTCAACTTTTTTTTTTTTTTACAGTGTATCAGATGTAGTTGAAATCATATTTGATCAAATTGCTATCATATGAAAAGCGTAAATTGAACAGTTGAACAGCCACAAAAGGTCACCTCTTCTCCACCTGCTGACCTAACATGGTTGGTATTGGACATGTTGTGAGAGTGCGCCAGACTAGTTATTCTACTATGTTGTGGTGAACCAAAACACAAAGTAATATGAGCAGCTTAATAGTGCAACAACTCATGCTTTGCATTGAGCCCTCTTATGAAAGTGAAATATGGCGTGAAAACTTTGAGCACAAATGCTCAGAAGAATGCATGGTATACTAGTTGGAAACAGTAATAAGTCTCAAATGAAAATGAATTTAATGCAAGATGTAAACAGGGCTTTGCTTGCAAACACAAATGTCAACGATACATGTTTGAAAGGACATTCAAAAGTTTGTTTCTTGAATACACTGATTCTATTTTAACCCTACTGCAATATATTTAATATGCAAATTTCGAAGGCCTTAAAATTTTCAACATGATTAAAACATTTTTGAAAAACCTGATGATGAATGTGATCTGCTTCATGCCTCCTGTTTACCAGTTGACAGTTTATGCTATCATGCTAAAAGGCTTTGAGTATCATTCTATTACAGCCCTCAGTTATTGATACATTACATGTGCTTTACTGATTTGAATGCAGGAATAATACGTTTTATCATTGGTACATTTCTCCTGATCATTCGTTGAGACGCTACATTGAATTGCACATTTTAGATTAGGGTTAAATTGGGGTCATTGAAAAAATAGGAGCTCCATATTTTTTTATTATAAATGATAAAGAGTGATGCAACAAATAAAATGCTGAACATAAATACATATGCAAGGTGCAATACATGATTTAAAAAAAAGCTATTTGTGTGTATGTTAGGCTTAAAGCAGGCATATTTAGCTCTCAAATGTAAAGGGTGTGCAAATCCATATGAATACTATGGTTAAATGAATTCCTCAGGTCCTGGATGACTTTGATGTAGTCAAAACTGAAGCAGACATCATGAAACAAAGCCATGAGTGGACCAGCCTGATGTCTAGACATACAGAAAGCACTACTGATCGACTGACCAGAGCACAGGAACTACTGCACTTCTGCACTGATGGTGAGGAGAAAAAAAATAATAAACGTTTTTTTATTAATAAAATTATTATTAAATGTATCTATATTTCCAGAGTTTACAAGCTGGTCTGAACTTCAGAGGCTTCTACAACTGTTTGTGTTTGAGAGCATGTCTTTAACTACAGTTGACGAGAGTGGCTGTATTAACAGATCTCAATCACACCCTCCAAACCCCACACCATGGGACAAACCTTTTGAATACGCCAAACACCTCTACTGGAGCAAACACAGGATAACAGGTTTGTACAGATTGTACACCCACTATTTTGATTGGCTAGTTTGACAGGACAGCTGTGTGCCCATTAATATAAAGTTCTGCATGTGCGTTTGAAAGCTTGCATACTTTAATTAGGTATTTAGGACAAAAAATCTTAAATACTCAGTACATATCAGAGAATGGCGACATGGTGGGTTAGTAGTTAGCACTGTTGCCTCACAGCAAAAAGGTTGCTGACTAGAGTCCCGGCTGGGTCAGTTGGCATTTTTGTGTGGAGTTTACATGTTCTCTACGTGTTCACATGGGTTTTCTCTGGGTGCTCTGCTTTCCCGCACAGTTCAAAGACATGCAGTATAGGTGGACTGAATAAACTAAATTGGCCATAGTGTATGTGTGTGAATGTGAGAGAGTATAGATGTTTCCCAGTACTGGGTTGCAGCTGGAGGCGCATCCCCTGTGTAAAACATATGCTGGATAAATTTGTGGTTCATTCCGCTGTGGCGACCCCTGATGAATAAAGGAACTAAGCAGAAGGAAAACGAGTGAATGAATATCAGAGCATTTGCAATAAAAGGCAAAGAAATAGTGACTACATAACAAATAGAGTCAATCACACTTGTGCAGTGCGACATTTAGATAAAATTTGTCAAAATAAATACATTTGATTTAAAACTATATAAAAAAGAAAATAAATTTGTCATAAAATGATGTAAACACAGTACCAAGTTCTTATTGATGCTGTCTGGAACTTCAGTAAAAATGAAAGTTCATCTAATTGTACATAACTTTGGGTTGAGAAGGAAAGTAATGCAAAAAAGACAACTTAGCACTGTACGCTGTCTTCAGAGCATCTTGACACTGTAAAAATGCTCCTTTTACTCAGATTTTTGTCTTGTTTCTAGTCTATATATCTAAAAATTCTTAAATCAAGAAGAATTTTTAAGACAAGCAAATCATATTGTCTTGTTTTAAGAAATAATATGTCAAAATTAAGTTAGTTTTTTCTTAAAACAAGCAAAACAATCTGCCAATGGGGTAAGCAAAATAATCATATATCAAAAGCAAAAACAAGATTATTTTTCTTACCCCGTTGCCAGATTATTTTGCTTGTTTTAAAGAAAAACTCAACTAATTTTGGCATATTATTTCTTAAACCAGGCAATATGTTTTGGTTGCCTAGAAAATGTTTCTTGATTAAAGATTTTTTTAGATATTTGGACTAAAAAGAAGACAAAAAAATAAAAGAAAAGAATTTTTTTTTTGCAGTGTATGGTTTTGTTTCTTCATAGTCCTGCATTTTCCTCTTCTGTTATTTATCTAATGCACATGTAAATCTGTGGGCGGTGATAAACAGACTTTAACATGATCCTAAACATGATCCTCTGTGGAGGTGGAGTTTAGCCACATAATTACATAATAAATACGCACATTCCACAACCTGTTGTTTGTGACCCCTTTAAATACAAAACAAATATTTGACAAATCTTTAAAGCCTTTTGCCATTTTATATTTTATAGGATCAGCAAAACGCAGTGCTGAGAATGATGAACAAATGGTAGGATTAATGTTTTGAAACCAAAAGTTGACATTTCTATAAATACACTACACATTTATCTCTGCACCATCATGAGCAATCAATTGATTTATAATATCCTATAAACTGATTATAAAAAGGGTAACGAAGTGACCCTGACAGACCTCCAGGAGACCCTAATTCGCCGACTGGAAGACTATAACTTTGTAGAGAAGCACAGTGCTGATGTTTTTCCCCAGGTAACAATCTTCAGAACACTATTTTCAATATTACTTTTAAAATCTATAAAACATTTAATTACAGATGAGTGTTTCTCTTTCAGGTCCTCCAATCTGCTTCCGAAATGTATAGATGTGTGGACACATTTCAGTGTAGAGACAATGCCGTGTATGTCATCTGCCACAATCCAATGAGCCAACAGAGGAGCTGCAAAGAATTCTGGGAAGGATCACTTCACACAGATGTGGGCTTCAGGTACTTTATCTCTTCTTTGAGATCACAAAATTATTTCAAAATTGATTTGCTATGTAATGACAATTTAGAATTAATTAGAATTTGAATAACTAATTTCTAATAACTAATTCATATTCTAAGAAATAATAATAGTACATACATTTTTAATATTTATTTTGCAAGATACAAGTATTCCTGTTGAACAGCAATTTTTAAAGGCTTAAATAGGCAGGTTAGGTTTATTGGGAAGGTCAGTAGTTTGTTCAGCAGCCCCAAAAAAAAAAAATTCTTATGGAGCTAATTATCCATATCATATTGACATGGCAGTTAAAATAATATATTTATATATTTTTAATCCCAGCTAAACTAAAAGAAATAAGTCTTTCTCCAGAAGAAAAATATAATGCTATTTTTCTGTTCTGTTAAACATCACATTTGAGAAATCTTTGACAAAGAATAAAAATTTTAATCTAAAATCTCACAGAACATAATTTGTATCATAATTTTTTTATATTATATTATATTTTTATTTTGACCTTAAACATGACCCAAGATTCACTCTTGTTACAGTTAGAGGAGATGGAGGTGTAGAATTTGTTAGGCTTAACTCTATAATGAATGATGCCGATGTACTACTTTATACTGAATTTATATTCTTAAAGGAACTACTTGGAATATGTGGCTGATTCAATCAGTGACTGGACCAAGCAGGAAGAGGAAAAATGGCAGATGGAGCAGGAAAAGAAAGTGTCAGAAAGATCTCCAATACAATCCCCTTTGGAAACCAACAGGATAAGAGGCAACATATTCATACCTAACACCTAATATGCTAGCCTGAGCCAGATCAAAAATAATATATATATTAGATATTTGAAAATGTTATTGTGAATTGGGTTGTGTTATAATTGTTTCCTTTTAGACTCTCCAGTTTCAGACACATGTGAACCATATATAAGAGAAGACTCTCTTAAAGTGAGCTGTTTACCTTAACATTTAAGTTTACACAGATTTTCAGTTTTCATGCCTTAACTTTAGGCCTTATTCTCATGTATTTACTGTAGGCATGGAAAATCGAGCAGGAAAGATTAAGGGAAGAGGAGCAATCCATAAAGGCAAAGAAAGAAAAAGGAGGAAAAGCAACACCAAAAGTAGAAGAGAGGATTGACTCTGTAAAGGAGAACAAGAAGGCGATATCAGCAAGAAAAAGCAGAGACAACATGTCCAAAACACCCAGCTCAGCTACAATGTCTAAAGAAAAGGCCAGAGACTTTCAAGAGATGTCACAAGAACCAGCAAACAATGATGTATGAAAAATATGTAAAACATTTCTAGTATCTCAATTTGAAATGGTTGAATCATTGTATACTTTCCACAGGTATTCACAGGCTACAGTTTAAATGGAAAACTGGTGCGGATCATTGGTAAGGTTGAGTCTCTGTATCCCCGTGATGGAGCCCAAATAGATGTGGAGAGCTTTGGCTTTACTCAAGGTTTGAGATCAGGAAAAACTAACATGTACAAACATAAATGTGTTTTTAGAGCTAGTAATTGAAAGCTTTTGTTTATATCTTTCTTACATGATTGTTTTCCTTCATTAGGGTTGACACAAATGAAAGTATGTGTGAAGAAAGATGGCCATCACTTCTACACACACATTTCAGAGAGAAAAATGGATAGTAAACTAAAAGAGGTTGACATGTTCAGTAAACAAGGTATTGATGTGACATTATTTAAAAATAATATATACATATAAGATGTATATTTTATTGTATTTACTGGCCACTTTATTGGGTTAACCTGTACAACTGCTCATTGGTGCAAATTTCTAATTAGTTCAGATGATCTGCTGAAGCAAACCGAGCATTGGGCATTGTTGTTGTATGTTCGAGTATTTCAGAAATTGCTGTTCTACTCAAATTTTCACGCACCACCATCTTTTTTACAGAAAGATGTTTGCAACATAAATGCTCAATACTCAAATCTGCAGCAACTGTATGATTCTTTCTTGTCCATATGCACCACAAAATACATGTTTTCTGCACCTTGTTGAATTGATGCCTCAAAAAAATGAAAGCAGTTCTGAAGCCAAATAAGGGTTTAACCCTGTAATATCAAAGTGTATCTAATAAAGTGGCTTATTTGCATATTTATTTACACATATTGATTTGCCCAATTGTGCTGCTTTTGGAGTTGAAGCAGATTATGAGAGAGAGAGAATTGGCTCTTTTTATGCTGTTCTGGCCAATGGCATTCAGTTTTCCTGCAGTCTGAGCAGTCCAAATAAAACAAGAGGACAAACTCTCCAACCTAATTTGTCCAATGTCTTCTGTATAGACCAGCAACTACAGGAACAGGTGACTGGACAATGAATAATAATGCCAAATGTTGGTTAGTTTACCGTGCAATTAATTTTAATTAAGCTGTTGCTGATTATCTAAATATTTATTTTCTCTCTTGAAAGATGTGTGTTTCTGAGGTACCTGAAGTACAGTGTGAGTCTGTAGATGATCCATATCATTTACCATTCCTCAATCTGTATGTATCTCTTCCTAATGGACTCATCCTGCAATTTGATTTTGATGATTTAGTGGGTGAGCCGTTTTTTTAATTTTCTTTCTGCATAAATAACTTCAGTATGTTAAATGATGCAAAAATTATTTTTTTTTTTTATCTGCACCGTGTCCTATTTCTATGAATAAAAATTCACATATTTATAGGAAATATTTTCATATTTCAAGTTATAGATTCTTATTTAGTTCATGATTTTTTAACAAAAAATGTAAAACGTTTTGGGTTTTATTGTAACTATCTAAGCGCAAAAAAAAAAAAAGGACAGTTTGCACTGTGGTGCATGGTAAGACAGGCTTGAGCTTTTGCTCTTCATGAGTTATGGTTGGGTGTGTTTTGAGCATAATGTGCATTAAACCAATTAGAGTCTTATCTCCCATTCCCTTTAAGAGTCAGTTGTGTCGCGCCATAGTGCATTTGCTATTTACATGGCAGACTTTGTTAGTGAATAAACTAAACGCTTCATTAGCAAGAAAACAGTTAAACAGACCATCTGCAGCAAGGATAAAGAACGAGCCTCCTCCATTCGGCCTCTTTGCTTTCTCTTTACTTTTAGTCTTTACCTTACTCATTTACCTTCGTGGATAAGACAATGGTGTTGTACGCACTCATCTGAAGACATCTATTAGCCTACATATTTAATTTCATTTGTTAAGTGCAAAGATATGTTTCAAAACTATTTCTAAATTCAGTTCTAATTTTTAGCAAACGGATAAATGAGCAATATGAAGTGTGGTCAAAAAACAAAGTTATATCCAAACACACTCCCTATTCTTATGCCCCATATGGGGATGCAGTCTCAAAAACCAGACAGGTGGACAAACTTTTTTATTAAAACAAATATAAATATGCGTATAATAAATAATACTGCTAATAATAATAACATTATAAAAATGCTAATTGTCATGAATAGACTGAAAAATGCACCCCGACACGAAGGCATGGAGGTAGTGTTTTTTTATATCTATGTAGTAAGTAATATTTTAATAACAATAATAATATTGTAACATTTTTGTCCTTAGCATTAAAATGTATAAAATATATACTAAATATTTTTCTCTCTGCGCTGGACCAGCTTTTTCTTGGTCAAAGGCGCAGTCTATTTCAGTTTCTCAAAATAGCAACACTCCAACATTGCGCCTTAACACGCCTCCTTTATAAACCGGCACACCCATGAGTCCTCAAAGTAGCACAAATGGATTTGCTATTTAAACAATGTGGCGCAAAATGTGACAACTAGGGTTTGAAAATAGCAAAAAAAAATCGGGCAAAATACACCTTGCGCCGGGTGTATGATAGGGCCCTTTATGTGTTTTAAAATACAAAATTTTGCAAAGTACTTACAGTTTTTTTTTTTTAAATGATAATGCAAATCACTTGTTTTGGCTAATACTTAATGACTGAAACAACAATAGTGTACTACTACAGCCCTATGAGTTTGCAAAGTGGTATAGACAACTACTAGCCTTACATAAATAATAGTTTTTTTCTTGTCATTTTGAAAATCATTTGGACAAGGAATATTTTGTCAACAAAATCACCTATACTGGCGTCACGGTGGCGCAATGGGTAGCAAGATCGCCTCATAGCAAGAAACTGGTTCGAGCCCCGGCTGGGCCATTTGGCAATTGTGTGTGGAGTTTGCATGTTCTCCCCATGTTGGCGTGGGTTTCCTCCGGGTGCTCTGGTTTCTCCCACAGTTCAAAGACATGCGCTACAGGTGAATTAAATAAGTTAAATTGGCCAAAGTGTATCTGTGTGAAAGAGTGTGTATGGGTGCTTCCCAGTGTTGGGTTGTGGCTGGAAGGGCATCCACTACGTAAAACATATGCTGGATATGTTGGCGGTCCATTCCACTGTGGCGACCCCTGATTAATAAAGAGACTAAGCTGAAAAGATGAATGAATTTATTAATTAATCACCTATACTAAAAAACTGTTTTAGCACATTTAGTGCATTGTTTCATGTGAGTTTTAACATATCTTGTTTAAAAAAATAAATAACACTACAAAATTCCGCAAAACATGTAATTTCTACATGCAGTTTATATTTTATAAAAGACCATCTTTCTGAGCTTATCCTAGAACCAGCATTTAAACACATCTATGCAGTTTAATTTGTGGTTTCCTTCTTTCAGTACAGAGAGCAGCTCTGGTCTTATCTGTGTTTTCAGATGGGGAATCTTGTGTCCGATCTTTGCTGATACGACAGAGATTGTATAATGCAGGCTCTAGTTCAGACCTCAGCACACACACTGATGTCTCCAGAGTCATTACCAGCAGAGGGACTGTTATCATACACAAGATAGATGGATCTACTGAGGTATTCACACACTCACATACACACATAATAAAGCACATGAATAAGCACTAATAAAATCACAGCCTTATCAAGGACATATATAGTATATTTAAGTGCATTTGTGTGTGCTCCAGGTGCTGTTTGCAGATGGTACAGTCAGTACAAGTCCAGATTCTATACCAGTGTGTGTGTTGGTTCCACATCTAATTTTAAAGGAACCGGAGCCTGTCAAAGAACTGGACATCAAAGACACTAAAGACAAAAAAGGTACCTTAAACAAATCCTATAGGAAACCGAATGTGTATATATACTTCTGTTCCACATTTCTCATTTGGAATGCAAATAAAAAGATTGTCATTTTTTTTTGCATAGCTGTGGATAAAAGGCAATATGATTAGCCCTCTTGTGAAATTTAACTATTTTTCACATATTTGTGATGCTTAACAGAGCAAGGGGATTTTCACATTATTTACTATAATATTTTTTCCTATGGAGAAACTCTTGTTATGTTTAATCCATCTCATTTTGTTTGGCTGGAATAAAAGCAGGTAAAATTAAAAATCAAAGAAAAAATCTTTATTCTTTTGCCCCATTATTTGTATCATTATCATTATTTTTAGTATTAACAAACCACATTTGTCCAATGACTTGCCTGATTAGCCATTTAATACTAGTATCTTGCTAAATAACTTGAAAAAACTCAGTACTGTCATCATGGCAAAGTCTAAAGAAATTAATTTCAATTTATGTGTCAATTTCATGTAACAACTTTCATTCGCAGGCAAGCCTGATTCCAAGGTGAATGCAGAAGAAGAACAACAAAAGCCTGTAGAAAATGAAAAACCAAACTACTATCTCGAGGTAAGCGGGGGCTCTTGGATGACTACTATTCCCTCCGGTCTCAGAGTCGCCTCTAAAGCAGGCAAGAAAGTCGAAGTGCCACCTATACAAGCCTATCAGGCTACAGACCCCTTCAGCGGGACAGTAAGTGTATCATCAATAAATGTAACATCTGCTTTCTCGTCAATTGGTGACTGCTATAATGCAAATGCTACATGCATTCTAATTCTGTATAGGTGGTGGTCACAAGAGAGGACAACGTGCTGTCTGTGCTGAAGAAAGACGCATCTGTGATTGTAGACCATGCAGATGGAACGCGAATTACCACCTTTTACCAGCAGGGTAAGCCACAACATCTGAGCTCAGGTGCAGGAGTCTCTTATTAATGGGGTTTGCCATAGGCAAAGCTCATTAGTGCTATGCTCTTTCTGCTTATTATTATGTTTTTCGGTGCGTAACTAGTCCCGCAGCTTTCGTCCCAGACCCTTGAAAGTGGGGTCAAATCGTCCGGTTTTATCAGGAATGGTGTGCTATGACTTTTATAAGGGGTGGGTTTTTTTTTGGCCCCACCCAAAATCCCATTGACTTAACATTGAGCCAAACTTTGACGAATCACAACGCCGACTGTGAATTTCCTAGAAATATGGGATTCACAACAGCTGTAGGGGGTTGCAGCCTAAGTGAGAACATACCCTGCAAGGGGGTATAAGTTGCACCCCTGGGGCTCTAGGACGTCCCAAAGTTCTCCCATTGACTTACATGGGCCCCATTGACTCCCATTCATTTTTCTAGGTGAGCACTAAACGGTTTGCGAAATGGGCCCACCTTTGATGCGTTATAGCATCAAGTGTGAAATTCGTAGAAATATGGGATTCGCAACATCTGTAAGGGGTTGCAGCTTAAGTGAGAACATACCCCGAAAGGGGGTATAAGTTGTACCCCTGGGGTGCTAGGACGTCCCAAAGGGGTCCCCATTGACTTAACATTGCCCATTGACTCCCATTCATTTCTTTACTCACATGTCAATCACATTACATAGCAGTGTCATGCAGACTTAGGGGTTGGCTTATTTGACTCAGGAAACCAATCAGCATCTCAATATGATTTTGAAGCTCACAAGCCACGCCCCCCAAACCATTTAAAGACCCTTAATAAATGCCCCATTGACTTAACATGGGGTGGGACGTCCCATTGCAGATCCCATTGACTTCTATTATAAAGGTCACACATCTATAACATTACATAGGAGTGTCATAGAGACATGGGGGTGGGCTCATTTGACTCGGGCAACCAATCAGCATCCCTGTATGATAAAGCTCACAAGCCACGCCCCCAAATTGATCCCATAGAAATGTGAAGAGAAGTATGTATTCATTATGAGCCTTGGTTGGAAGATCAGCTAAATGGCTTCATAGATAGTAAAACTCAACTGTTTAACTGTTAGGGGAGTTGTAAAATGAGCGTATTGTTCATGTAATGTAATTAATTAACCGGGTCAAAATTATTTTGACCATATCCTCCTGCAGTATCTTACGTAATGCTCAAATCTGATTACAGAAGAGAAAAGAGTGAGAGTGGAAAAAGCTGAATTTGCCACAGTGGTGATGGACTGTGAAGCACGAACGTGTGAAGTTTTTTTTAGTGATGGCACATCTATCAGTGCAACTGCCCAAGGATTTTATAAAGTAAGAGGATGGATGGACAAAATATATCAGATATATAGGAGGGAACTTCATATGTAATGCCTCTTTCTGTGTCTTTAATACAGATTTATCCTCATAGTGGAGGTGTTCTTCATATTGATAAGGATGGTGGAGCTGTGTACTCATCTAAAGCGTCAAAAGAGCAACCAGAAAGAGACCCGACAGGCCAATATGTGATGAACCACAGAGCAGATGTTTTATGTCAAGTAACGGACTCAGAGTGGAATCACTTTCAGGTAGACTGAAGTAATATGTCTGAAAAAAAAAAAATATCTTGCACTAAAAAATGATCATATTTACCTAGTTATGGACAGATCTAAAAAAATATTTAAAAAGTTTGTATGCAAATGAGGAGACAAAGCAAGGACATAGTTTTGAAAATTTAAAAAAAATTAATTAAATTCCTTATTTTCATGCCAAAAAATTATATACAAATGCAATTACTACATGTTAGAACATGTCGTGATTTAAGTTTAAATTATTATTTTTTATTTATTTTATTTAGTTTTATTTGAGTTTGTAAACTTGTGTGCAGATGTTGAATATATAATATAATAAAACTAATTTTGATGTAAAATATTATTTAAATATAAGTATTTTTAACTGTTTTAATAATAACAGCAACCCTGTATAATAAAAAAATTAAATATTTTCCGTTATTTGGATAAATGGGAAGATTAAGCTGGACTGTGATTATTGCAGTTATCCTGTATAGCTGTGATGAGACTGAATATCAGACGATTAATCGATTAATAGTCTAAAAAGTATATAATTTTTGTAATATTATACAATTATAGTACTTATTAAGATATCATTTTAGTATCATTTTAAGTTAAATAAATTTATTGTGCTTCTGTTTTTTTTTTTTAATATTTCTTAATTTTAGCACTCTTGGTACTTAAAACTTATTTCTGTTCATTTCCAAGGCACACTTTAAAACTTTTTTTACTTTAAAGTATTTTTTAAAGTATTTTATTTCAGCTTTATTTCAATTATCCACCAATGTTTACTCTATAAGTAATATGTTTATAAATAAAGTAATGAACTAAAGTGACAAGGTACTGCTGTGTGCAGGTTTGTGCAGATGGTCATACTGCTGTCACGACTAACGAATCAGAAAAGAGAAAAACAGAGACGGAAACAGACGTTCAAGTAAACGCTGGCTTTAAAACACACCCACCCAGGTAAATGACTCACTTAAGTTAAAGAAAAGGGATTTTTCTCTGGCAAGTTAATAATCAAAGGGTAGACATGAAACTCCAGCTATATAGGTAATCAGGGACAATTGTACAGTCTGAAGTCATTATAGAAAACACAGGATAACACTTTATTTTGATGGCCCATTTGAGTATTAGAGTTATTATTTTATGAGAATTATTTGTTGATATGCTCCTTCAACAAAAGATTTAACTGAATATAACAAACTTAGCAAGTATGTCAACTTACACTAACCTTAACCCCAACCTAACAGTCTACTTATAATCTAATGAAAGTTAGTTGGCATGTTAGATGCAATGTAATTTAAATTCAACAAACGAACCATCAAAATAAAGTGTGAACAAACACAGAATGCAGTTTTCAGCCAATCAGAATCGAGTACTGCAATGAGCCATTCATTTCTTCCGGACTGAAGCAATTTCAGAGCATCAAATTGCATTGTAATATTACATAGTAAGGCTGTCCGCGGCATCTTAAAATGTATTACACTTCAAAAATACAATGTTAGGCCTTAAAAAGTCCTACATTTACTTTATTAATACTAATTTAAGTATTGTGTTGTAGGTCTTAAATCATTTCTAACAGGTCTTAATTTCACCCATCCAATCACCTCAATAAATTATTTTACAAACGTTTTAAACATTAACCCTATTTACCAGAATGTTTTTTTTATAATTTAAAAAAAATTTATGTTAAAAAAAATGTATACAACTTGTTTTTTCAAATATGTGGCTATTAAATTGAAATGTAATTTGCTAATTTTTAGATGGGGCAAGTAAAAATCTATTCCACTGGGCCAACCAGGCCATTAGAAAAATCCTTAACATTTAGCTCTATATCTGAAATGTCATTCAAAAGTCAAGTCTTAAATTTGATTTAGTGAAACCTTCAGAAACCCAGTAGTAAATAGCAATAAAAAATAGCATTTTAGTGAAATCCCTGTAATTAATGGATATTTTTAGCACTGCTAATCTGTTATTTACACTTTATGAACAGTGCTGTATTTTGTATAGTAGAATATTTGCCTTCCTAATGAGTGAAAGTGTATGTAATATGGGTTATAATTCCCACATGGAATCTGTGTGCGCAGAAATCCACAGATTTTTAGTCCATCATTGAGTCTATTTATTTACTTGTGTAAATGTGTGTAAATTTATATTTATTTAGTTTTTAAATTAATTTCAGTAATAATATTGACTAATATGAAGGTGTTAATTTGATTTATTTACAATTTACAGTTTGTAAAGTAATGTTTTCTGTCTTTTAGTAGATATCTATTATATGAGAGACTTGCTTTGTTTACCAAATAAGTGGATCTAGATGGATCTCCATTGTAAACATTAAATAAAAGTTTAAAAGCTTTTTTTTCATATAATAAGGTTTTTGTTACGATACTCCCAAAATACTTCTGCATAAATATGCAGGTTTTTAATAAAATTTTACAAAATAAATGTTTTTTTTCTTCTTGTTTTCAGGTTGTTTGTGGTGAATGAGGACGGTTCAGCTTCAGAGCTGCTGAGAGCTGGAGATGTGGAAGATCTTCTACAGAAGGCTTACTGTGACTCTTCTATCGCTGTTCTCACCGACCCGCTACCAGACTCACAAGGTAAGAACAGTTTACATTAGTAATGCAACAAATGAAAACTCGGGCAAAAACAAAAAAATCAGGATTCACTTGTTGAGAACAGAAACTTAAAATAATATATTTTAAATGTGTTTTTATTAGTGCTGTCAATCGATTTAAAAAAAAAAATTAACTAATTAATCACACTTTTATTGAAAATTAATCGTGATTAAATCACATTTAAAAGACTGAAACTTTTGTAATTTTTGCTATTCAAATGTAAAATGAATGTAAACACAAGACAAAAACTATTTAAATTCAAAATATAATTGTTTGTTAGAATTTTTTTTAACTTGTAACACAGATTTCTTCATGTAAACAACATACCCACAATAAACCATCAAATTCCTGGCTTAACAGCCATATTTAATACAGAAATAAAAACACAGGCATGTTAGTGCCGTTGGAATTTTATAACAATCAATTCCAATAAAGAAAAAAATGATTTCCATGTTGGATTCTAAGTGGACTGCAAAAAAATGACAGGCACTACACATATGGAAAATGAAAAATAGTAATAATAATAATAATAATAATAATAAAGTATTGAATACAAACAATTGCACTCATTGTAAAGTTGTATTGCTGTGAGTTGAGAACATTAATTATAAAGTAGAAACAATTTTGCTTGTCCTCCTTTACATTCATCCAGTTGCTAAGACAGTCCAGTCTGTTGACATTGTCGGGGGACAATGTGGACCTTTTCTTTTGAATGATGTGATCTGAGAGTGCAACATAATCTCTCACAGCAATTCGTAACTTTTTGATTTAGTGGCTACAGACAATGACGTTTAGGCAGGTTTCTTACTAAGAAACACATGCGCGCGCACCCACACACAGACCAGGGCCGTGCACAGGGGGGTGGCCCGGTGGCTAGAGCCACTGTCCCTCTGCCCTCTCAGGAGGCACTTGCTCTTCACTTTGCGATCGCGTTGAGCACCTGCCCCTGACACACACACACACAACACACGCAGGACAGGGCAGCTGAAGCGACTGATTTTAATATGATGAAGATAATACTCTAATTAAGAGTCTACCATGTAAACAGCGATTTTTGATTACATTAAAGGACCACCGAGTCACGAAATGCAGAGGTGTTTCTGTCCGTTCGCCATGCGGTATCAAATTCCAATAAAACAAAAGTTGAAAGTTAAAAATGGAACACCCGAAATTGTATGAAACTCTGGAAAGCCTGTTGATGTGATATTAATTGTTTTATACTGAAACTTGCCTTTAAAAAGTGCTTCCTTGGTCTTATCCATATTTCTTTGCATGTTAAACACACGAAAACCTGTAACTGCGTTAATTGCGTTCATTTTTTTAGACGCGTTAAATATTTAAAATTAATCGCGTGTGTTAACGCACTAATTTTGACAGCACCAGCTTTTATATAATTGAATGTATTAATTTTAGACTTTTTTATTTCATTGAATGTATTATTATCATTATTACTATATAACATTTTTTAAACTAATAACAAACTACACTTGAAATATTTAAAAATATAATAAACATTTTGACAAAATATTGTAGAATAAGTTTAGCAATACAAAAGTTTATTAAAAAAGTACAACAGAGGCTCACAACGACCTCTTTTATAGAAAGATTACGAAAAATACATGAATAACTTTCCCTGGGATCAGTTTATTTTGGTTCACTGATGCTTGGAATCATCCACAGCAGACCTTAAAGCTCAGCATTTTCATTCCACTATCATCTTTAAAAAAGTCAATCCAGTCAATAGTACAAGATCACTGTGCTTGTTCTGCTTGTTCTGTAGTAAGTCAGTTTGAATTATCAATGTATATTTCCAAATTTTTTTTTTGTCATTAATTGTAATTATACAGCGACATTATTGTCTGTCATACAAAAATGAGAAAAATACATGGATAAAACCCCCTGGGATTTTTGATTTATTTACTGATTCATCATCTGTAGGACCAAAAGTCATGTAATATTTTGAGTTCTTTTAAGATCCATAATTGTTAAACACTCAACATCTCATTTAAAGCATTGCATACTTAACATTGCAGCCTATTAAACACCTCAATCATTGTTCTCCTGACTGATTCCCGCTCAGAATCATTTGGCATCACTCTGCTAAGGCCTTTCCCAGACATCAAATCTCATTGGCTCTCATCCAAGCAAGATGATGACATCATTCCCACCAACCTCAAATCCAGGAAATGGGAGTCTTTCCCGGCTTCTGAGGTAATTTCTTATCTTTAGGTGAAACTTTCTTTTAGGATTACCTTTGGTCCAAATGTTTTATATTGCCAAAACAAATCCACATTAAACATCTCATTTATTTGCACCCTAAACATGTTTGGATATGTCTATATGTGATGTATAAGTGTGTGTTGTTTAGTGTGGATTACCTATAATTCCTTAATGGTTTGTTTCCATCTCTGCTGCTTAGAAGAAAACTCCAGGCCCTGTTTTTGGGACCACCCTTGGTTGTAGTCTCCAGTTCAAAGAGAAGCCGTCAAAGTCTGATTCAGTCCACGTCCAACCAGTTTTAGAGTGTCCTGAAGTGCTGCTGGTGCGACAGATTACCCAGAATCCACCTGTCACTGAATCAACACGAAGGAAACTGCAGAACAAAGTCAAGGTGATTTAATTCCTGCACACAAAATAAGCAACATGTGATTTGGTTCTTATTAACGTTAACCTTTTTTAACCTTCCGGTAATAATATAATGTGTCAGTAAAACCACAGCTTTACCACCCATATTATGCTTCCCTTTTCACTTCCTTTCAACATGTTCTGTAACTGAGCAGTTTGTGAATTTTTGAGCTTCAAAAATAAATTGTTTGTACACAGTAGTTTGGCAATAATCGTTACATGCGCACATGGATCATATTTTGGTGTCAGCATCTAATAAAGGGAACAAAAAGTGATTTGAACTGCATAGAAAGCATACACAGGATCTACTTTAAGGTTTTAAATGATGTTTGTTATTTTGGCCTTTACCTTATTATTAGCTAGGCCTCATATTCTAGTTCACTGGAAATCAAATAAGCCTCCAACTACAACCCAATGGCTTGTGGATACCAGTATTTTGTAAAAGGTTAGATGCTCTGGGAAAACAATTTTTTTTTAAAAAGTGTCAATGTTTCAGAACTTACTTAAACATCTTACCTTCCATTTAATAGAGACACTCTCCTTCCTGTTAAATTTATTTATTTTGTTGAAATAAAATTTTTGTTGGTTTTTTTACTATTATTATCTCATACTGTTTTATTGTACAACATTGACAATGTATAAGAACATTTAATTGTGATTGTTGAATGTCTGCATTCAGTTGGTTGTAATTTTCTGTGCACTTTTATTACTTGTTTCCATTTTATCCCTCTTATTATTATCATTTATTCATTCATTTTCTTGTCGGCTTAGTCCCTTTATTAATCCGGGGTTTGCCACAGTGGAATGAACCGCCAACTTATCCAGCAAGTTTTTACGCAGCGGATGCCCTTCCAGCCACAAACCATCTCTGTGAAAGATCCACACACACACTCATACACTACGGACAATTTAGCCTACCCAATTCACCTGTACCGCATGTCTTTGGACTTGTGGGGGAAACCGGAGCACCCGGTGGAAACCCACGCGAACGCAGTATTAACATGTAAACTCCACACAGAAACGCCATCTGAGCCGAGGATCGAACCAGCAACCCAGCGACCTTCTTGCTGTGAAGCGACAGTACTACCTACTTCGCCACTGTATCGCCTCTTATTATTATCATTATAATTTTTTTTTAAATAATTTTTTTCCTTCTCATTTAAAAAAAAAACAACAACAAAGCTAATGATATGTAACTATTTGTACTGAAATATTGTTTGCTTTTTCAAAATAAAAAAACAGCATAAAATGATGTTTGTGAAAGTAAAAAAATAAAATATGAATAAACTAAAGACAAATCATCTGTGAAAAAATGAAAAATAATTAGTCTGACCTGTAATCATTGAAGTATATAAACAGATACATTAAAATATATTTTAACCACTGAATTTATGGTAGCCAATTTTTTAACTGTAATCAAATTAACTGAAAATCACCCTCTGAATATTATAAAGCGCATTTTTAAACAGAACTGAATATTTTGAAAGTGAAAACTGGAAGGTTAATATGAAGTATTGAAATAAAATACTGAAGTATTGAAATGAAATATTTGTAGTTGAAACATTCACAGCTTCAATGAACAGCTATGCTAAATTTTAGGACCTAAAATACTAACAATGACAATTCAAGTCATTAAAATACAGGCACTTTTTAATTCAATGCATTATATTTTTCAGTTAGTGTTATGCAACAAGCTTATTATTTCAAACACTTTAGACATTAATTTTGTTCAATATCATTCAGTCATTTATTCTTTTAATAATTTATTATTTATTTATTATTCATATATTCATTTTATTTATATATTTTTCAGCTTGGTGTCTGATTTTTTCAGGCATATGTTTTACGCTGTAGATGTCCTTTCAGCTGCAACCCAGTACTGGGAAACATTCATACATTGTCGCATTCTTTATTTAATCTACGCCAATTTACTTTATTTAATTCACATATACCGCATGTCTTTGGACTGTGGGGTAAACTGGAGCACCGGAGGAAACCCACGCCAACACAGGGAGAACATGCAAACTCCACACAGAAATGCCAACTGGCCCAGCTGGAACTACAATCAGCGACCATTTTGCTGTGAGGCGACAGCGCTAACCACTAAGCCTGTTCCATATCATACTATATAATATTTTAAACTAGTAAAAATGCTGCAGGGTAATTAAAGTATCAAATGAATGTATAAGATAAAGATTTAAACCAACAATAGCATTTTGGGTATTATGTGTCTTTCGGGTACCCAAAAAGTGTCTTTTAAGCAACAAACCATATACTGATATGTATAATTAAGTAATATAGTTTATAGTAAACATTTTCTGAATATCTGAAAATTGTTGTTCGTATTATAGTAAAAAAAAGTCTTTAATGCTTATATTACACATAAAACATTATGTTTAACAGAACAAGGAAATTTTCACAGAATTCCGATAATATTATTTTCTTCTGGAGAAAGTCTAACGTGTTTTATGTCGGCTAGAATAATAGCAGTTTTTAATTTTTAAGTTCAAAATTATTACCCCCTTTAAGCTATTTTTTTTCAATATTCTACAGATCAAACTATTGTTATATCAAACCATTGTTATATCTTGCCTAAATACCCTAACCTGCCCTAGCTAACCTAATTAAGCTAGTTAAGCCTTTCAATGTCACTTTAAGCTGTACAGAAGTGTCTTGAAAAATATCTAGGAAACTATTATCTACTGTTATCATGGCAAAGATAAAATAAATCAGTTATTAGGAATGAGTTATTAAAACTATTATGTTTAGAAATGTGTTGAAAAAACACAGAAATTATGGAAAAAATAAACAGCTAATAATTCTGACTTTGACTGTATGTATGTGTGTGTGTGTGTGTGTGTATATATATATATATATATATATATATATATAATTTTTAGTGTTTACTTTATATTTCACTCATTTAAATATCCTTCTGTCTTCTTGTGTTGATGTATGTACTGTATATGTGCTCCTGAAAACCACAGAAAAACTTTAATAAAGCTCATTCTGATTCTGATATGGATTTAATCACGTAGGCATATCTGGAGCAGTTGCTTCAGAGAGAGGCTCAGTGGGAGAAAATGCAGCTAAAGGATCCACGAACAGCACAGGAGAAGAGTCATCAGAATGAGCTGCTGCGCCTTGTACTGGTCAGACAAGATCCTATGTTCTTAAACTATTCAGACGATTAAATAAATACAGATGGTGACTTATATAAATTGTTTTAGTCTCTGCCTGATGCTGTAGATCTTCCAGCTACCATAGATACAAGGCCTCAGTCAGGTGAGAAAATGTATTAACAAATTAAATAACAGTTCATTAAAATAAAAACTGTTTCTTAATATTGAATTTGATTTATTATTGAAGGTTATACATTGTTATATTTCCTAATGATAATAAATATAATAAATATATTATTGTTCATTAATTATAAGTTATTTAACCCTCTGATTCATCAATGTATTTGAGCATTAAATATGTTCAGTGTGATATTACATAGTGTCATAAACAATGGTTTTAAATAGGGAAAATGTTGTGGCAGCGCTGTAGCTAATGAATATTTTTAGCACTGTTAAGCTGTCATCCACAGTGAAGATCTCACCTTCAGTTTGTCTATTTTTGTCTCAGCTGAAATGGTGTGTCGCTACAGTGAAGCAGTGAAAGCAGCTCAACATGCCCACAAACTACGGGAAAAGCCAGAAGAGAAAGTTAACATGCGGTATTGTCTATTATCTACTCACAATCTGTAAAAGATAGACCAGAATGAGGGTTATCAAAAACAGCACCCCTGCTGCTATCGCACAGCATTTCTGTGTGTAAATTAGCTGAAATTCGTAGATTATAAAACCAAACCACAGATAAAATGTTACAGTGTGCGTGTTTCCTAATGGCTCTTACACCGTTTGCTTTCAACTTCTGCTTTTTTCAGTGTCAATAAAAAGAAGCAAAAGTCACTGTGGGAAAGCAGGATTGACCAGCACAGGTAAAACAGTTATTCTGTTTAAATGGTTTCAGTTTCACAAGCTCAAAGATGGTTATGCAGAAATGATTTGTTCATCCACACTTTCAGGCAAGAACTCCAGGAGCAGAAAAGACACAGAAATGCACTCAAACACCGAATCGTTACGCCATATTTTCACCCTGAGCTGAAGGAAATGACAGAACAGGCTAGTGCAACCCTATGAACATTTCTCAAAGAGCTAAAGCATTTTATCTGATGTATTTTTTTTTTTAGCACAAATTTCTTCACTTTTTGATAATCAAACCCATGCTGTCAAATAAAAACCTGAAGTACACTAAACAAAATATATTGGAAGATTTAAGATTAAAACTAATAGAAATTTCCTATATTGAAAAAAACTGAAAAAAACTGACATTTTTACTTTTCTGCGATACATGTTGAAATATCGTATATAATTTCAACAGATTCAATGAATAGCTCTATTACGAAAGTATTTACACAATATTACGTTGATTATGATGATTTTGTAGAGTGCATCTGCATTAAATATAATAAACAAATCAAAAGTATTGATTAAAAACAGTAGAGCAAAAATATCAATTAAAATATTTTAATATACTTAAGTACAATCAATCTTTCTTAAAGTTAAAAACATGATAATTTATTGTGCATGATGACATTTACAGGCCTTTGAAACACAAACACGATTAACTGTAATTCTTGGTTAACTATAATCCCACCTTAACACTGCAGACCCAGCAATGTGACTATTACGGATGCGCACAATGCGATATCAATGTTAAGACGATATATTTGCAGCCCTAATGACAAGTAACACAAGTAATCACAAGTACCACATTGCATTAAACATAAAAGTTGTCAAATGTAGCAATATTTGATTAACCTTTATATTTAACGTCCACTGGTGTCGCTAATAACAAGTCGCTAGTTATTCTACATATAACTAGGGCTGGGTATCAAATTCGATACTTTTTAGGTACCAAATGAATAGCTTTAATGCCACCAAATATCGAAAAAAAATGTGTTGTTATTCAGTACTAAATTTCTGTCAGGATTTTCTCTCAGCATCTTCTGTGCTTGCCCAGAGTTCAGTCCAAGGACTCATTCATGAAGCAGAAGTAGATCCTGCGAGGTTTCTGGAGTAACAATAATATTTAAGTAATATGTTAAAGGGGTCGTCCAGAATGTAATTTTAAGGCTTGGTTGTGTTTATAAGATGCAAAGCAATGTGTGCTCATGTTTCACTTGAACAAATCGCATTATTTTTTCATGTATCTCACTTTGATTCTACACAGTTACTCAGCTAACATGAAAACCACTGTTATATTTCTTAGTTCATCTGAAAGGCCCGCTCTTACTACAAAATACAGTTGCTACAGAATACGGGTAACGCTAGACACTGTACATGTCATGATCAGTTTTAACAAATAAAAACACTTACAGGTTGTAGTTCACAGCTTCTGCTTTGAGGAGATTTTAGCCGAAACCAGCACTGAACTGGGAGAGATTCTGGAGCTGTTTTGTCTAATCATGCTTGCTATGTATTTTATAATTCTCTGGAACATAATTAATATTGAACTGTAAGCACTTTTGTCTTTGTGTCGTGTCCTTTGGAAGCCCAAATACAGAAACAGACGAAGCTCTGTGGAAACAGCCGTGTTTAGACGCATTTTTACCTTAATCTCTGCTATAACGTTACAGCGCCTCTGGCCATGGCCCTTAGCTGCGCAGTTTGTGTGTGCAGTAAATAAACCTTTGTGATCTCACAGGGGGCTGAAGTATTTTTTGTAGTCCCCAAAATTCGTTCATTGTAGGCTTTGCTAAGCTAACTCTGTAAAAACCAAGGTCTCCCTTTGCATTGAACTTAGAACTTTTTACATTCAGAGATGTTGTTTATGTTCACACAGCTACATTACACATCAACGAAAGTTTAAAATATGATATCATAGTGGACCACCCCTTTAATAGAATATTTCAGAGATTTACTTTTATACCATTTAAACTCTAAAACTTCTATACATTTCATACAAAATCACAATAACAAGTAACACATTGCATTAAACTTGAGCATGATTTTCATTGTAAAATTGTTAAATGTACAACAGTATAGAGATTTGAACATGTTTCATTAACCTTAATATTTAACATCCACCAGTGCTGCTAACAACTAGTCGCTAGTTACAATACTTATAACTAGTGCTGGATATCGAATTCAATAGTTTTTAGGTACTGAATTAATCGCCTTAATACAAAGTATCGAAAACTTATTCAGTACTAACTTTCAATAGCTAAAATAGATCCGAATGTCTCCTGAAAAACCACACATGCTCATTTTTTTAAAAAACAACCAAGTGATTAAGAAATGTAAGGATGCAGCAGTGAACCTCACAAAACTTGCATGAAATTGCTCTTGTTTAACTGAAATCTATTTAATTGAGATGTATTATGTAATCTGATTTTCAAATTTACAGTATCGGTACTGGTATTATATCAGTTTTTTTTTTTTTAACAAGACCCAGCCCTCCATATAATGCCAATAATATTTGCATAACATAATCAGATATACTAATTATTATTTTACACTTTAATAATTTTTTTTGTTTTTTTAAATTGCTTATATTTTGACTTTAAATTTGTTTTCTTTTCATCTAAACTGACTGTCCTTGCTGTCTTGTACGGTAAACTTGAGTGTAAAGAAAGGCACCTTAAAATAAATTATTATTATAATTATTATTATTCATTCATTGATTTTCTTTTCGGCTTAGTCCCTTTTTTCCACATCGGAATAAATCGCAAACTTATACAGCATATATGTTACGTAGCGGATGCCCTTCCAGCTGCAACTCATCACTGGCAAACACCCATACACTCTCACTGACACATACATGTATACACTATGGACAATTTAGCTTACCCAATTCACATGTCTTTGGACTTGTGGGGGAAAGCATCTGGAGGAAACCCACGCGAACACAGGAAGAACATGCAAACCCCACACAGAAATGCCAACTGACCCAGCCAAGAGTCGAACCAGCGACCTTCTTGCTGTACTACCCACTGTGCCACCATCATCATTATTATTATTATTATTATATTTATGATTTTATTTTTAGCTGTTCAGCAACGTAATTTAGCATAAGCTATAATTAAGCAAGCATATAATTTTGATATCTGCAATGTTTAGAGATCGGGCAGACCTGTTATGTGACTGTTCTTGTTTTCCATCAGGATCTAGACTCCTTCTCTTTCTCTCTCTCTCTCTCGCTCTCTGTATTTGCTGTGCTTCCCCAGCGTCCAGTGTTTCACCAAGGACTCATTCATGAGGCAGAAGTAAATCCTGTGAGGTTTCTGAAATAACAATAATATTTAAGAAATAATTTAATGGAAATATTTCAGAATGGGGAACTGAACTCTACAAATAAGGATGTACTTAAAACTTCCAATAGTTTCCCAAGGCATCTGTCGACAACAACATCAAAAAATGCTGCTTAAGCAACATTGAATGGAAATGTCAGTCCAAAACATCAGTCCCAAATTCTCAACGACAAATTAATTTCTAAACGGAGTCAGGCTGATAAATTATCTAAACCCCATACCTGAAAAAATAAAGTAGATGTTTTCATAAATATCAAACCAACTTTGAATCTGGCCATTAAAAATATTGTGGCGTTATTAGACTTTTGTTTTACATCTATAACGGCAACTGTCTAGCACACCTAAAGTTTAATCAACTAGAATACAATAAAAAGGTAGCATTAGCACAAACTTTGGCCCAATCTCAATTCTACCCCTTAGCCCTTCCCTTTCTCCTCGTTTTGTGCGTTCCTGTGAAGGGTTGAGGGTGCCACAATTCTCTTTAGCTTGAAGGCGTAGGACTAAGGGGAAGGGGTAGATAGCCCTTCGAACAGAGATTTTTCAGGACCACAACCGAAACCAAGGGGTAAGAAAATTTCCCAGAATACACCAGCCACAATGGCAGCATAGCTGCACCTAGACGTAGTTTTTGTCATTATTACAAATTTTTACAAAAAACAAGAATGTGTTTTAATACATTCATAAGCGCATATATGTTTTACAGTCATGCTTTAAAAAAAACGCTAAAATAAAAACTGCTAGACTTCTTCTATAATCTATAATAACTCCTGTACAGCAATCTCACAATATTCTGACACTCGATGACACTCGAATACCCTGTCAGAAAAGTCTAGTGGCTGGGAATGAGCTTTTTACAGTGTCTGCTATATTGTTAATGTTGTTTTTGGTGTGTTTACATGGATGAATATGGCCACTGAGTAAATGCACAGTATAGTTATGATCTTATTGCCACATTAGATCATTATTATAACATAATATATGCCTTCCGTGATTTCTTGAAGATAAATACTAAAAAATAAAGCAACTGGAATAACTAGAGCAGTCACGATTGTCTGATCTCATATGAAGCAAGAGATCACGATGTCATATGATGACGTGCTGTCCCATTTCTTATGGGTAAATTTCGAAAAGAGAAAGGGGTACAAAAATAGAATTGGGATTGGGCCTTTGAAATTGCACATAAATTATCCACTTAAAAGAATAAACTTGTAACTGATTGGTTATAAGTCTCAGCACTGCAAAAGAAACAGAACTGTGATGCAACATGCACAGATAAAACCAACTCCATGAATTTTAACACTCCACAATTTTAATTCAATTTCAGAAATGTCGCCTTCTTGAATTTGTGAGCTGTTTGTGTTCACTTTATTTCTACGAGCTCCTGTTAATTCCTGCTTATGCAAATGCTTAATATAAAATGTGACATGATGAAATATTACTAAGTGCATTTATATATAGCTATTCTCTGCCAAATTAGCCAGTACACTTGATGTTTTATTATAAGAATTAGAACAGGTCTGCCAAGAAAATAATTACTTTACTTAAATAATAACACTAGAGGAAAATTAATAATGAAAGTGACAACCCTCGCTATAAGTATTCATGCAATGAAAAATCATTAAATGGGTGTAGATGGAAAGGCAAAGTATAAGAATGATTCAGCAGCTGCCATGTCTGCATTTGTTTAACTAGGGACATTGTACGTTAGCCCTTCTGTACTGTTGAGGATGTTTTCATCCACGCTGGGGTGATTTTGAGTCTTAATTTGTCTTTTTTCTTTGTTTCAGCTAGCAGAATGATTTTTGGTGACAAATCTTATTTTAACACATATTCTGAGAAAATGCTTTGGTTTTTTAAAAACTCAATGATACAGTCTGGGCAAATTGACTACCCTTTTGTTATGTTAGGGATGAAATTATCCACTAAATTAAACAGCAGTAAAATTTATCAGATAAATATTTGTTAATTGCCAAATTCATAAATGATGTCACTGATTTGGTGAAAAAACAAAACAAAATGACGTCTTTTCAATATTAAAAGTAAATGTGGACTGGATTTATTTGAACCTTTTATCAAAGCCTTGGACATGTGAAACAATATTGCCTTTGATGCATTGTTTTTGCCTCATTGATCTCCATTATAACCACAATGAATAGTGCATAAATACAGTCTTTGTTTTCGTTTACTTCATGTAGTTCTGAGAGCTGAGATGGATATTATGATTTTCTCAAACACATCAAGGTAAGAGCTCAGAGGTCACTCTCACCCTCACAGACACACATTCTAATTTGCTGTTATACTCTATATAAAACCTGGAAACTACGTTTTTTTTTCTTTATTTTTTCACACAGGCCTATCTAAAAGGTTAATGGTGCCAACCTATGATCAACAGTAAAAATTACAAATTGTTCTTCTTCCCAACAGAGAAAACCACCAACAATCAAAAATGCATCATTATATGGTGAAATGGTTTTGCAATCAAAAAAATGTGGTTAGAATGGAAGTCAATGAGGCAAAAACAACCACCAACAGTAAATTAGGGAGGAAAAAATGAAAATCAATAAAAAAAAACAATTCAAAGCCAATGTTGTTACTAATAATCGTTCATGTCTAAGACTTTGAAAAAATCCAGTCCACAATTACTTTTTAATTTAAAAAAAATGTGTCATTTTGTTGTTGTATTTTCACCAAATCAGTGACATGAATTATGAATTTGAAAAAAATAAAAAAAATTAAAATTAAAAAGTTAAAATTCTCTAGTTTTCTTAACAATTCAGTAGTTTTGTCAACTGAAGTTGATTAACAGATTTATGCAACAAAAAAATAAAACATTTTGAATAAAATATTTATCTGATGCATTTTTACAGCAGTTAAATTAAGTGGTTGTTTTCATCCCTAACATAACAATACGTGGTACATTTGAACAGTTCACAAGGGTTAATAAAAACATTTCTGTAAATCTACCAGAATATGTAGTCCCTGAACAGAATGTTACAAGTCACCCTAAAGAAAAATGCAATTAAAATACATGTTAAAATAAATGTACAATTAAATATCACAATCCATAAAATATGAATAAAAAAATACAAAGCTCCCAAAAGACCCACGCTATCAAATATTGTATTTTATTATTAACATAACTGAGTACTAACTTTTTATTCCATCTTAAATACTTAACCTTAAATTCTCAATAATTCTATATCTTTTACAGTTGTTGTTGGTATATTTCATCCTCGTACAATCTCCCATTCACACACAGTGACAACTGTGCTATTTCATTCATTTCTTTGGCTTAGTCCCTTTATTCATCAAGGGTCACCACAGCGGAATGAACCACCAACTTATCCAGCATATATTTTACACAGCGGATGCCCTTTTAGCTGCAACCCAGAACTGGGACCCACCCAAACACACTCATTCACACACATGCACTACGGCCAATTTAGTTTATTCAATTCCCCTAAACATCATTTCTTTGGACTGTGGGGGAAACCGGAGCACGCGGAGGAAACCCACACCAAGATGGGGAGAACATGCAAACTCTACACAGATATGCCAACTCGCCCAGCTGGGACTTGAACTGGCGAACTTCTTGCTGTGAGGCGACAGTGCTAACCACTAAGCCTGCAACTGAAACCTAAAATTTTCAGTCGCCTTTCAGTTGATACAGTATTTTTAAAATTTCAGTGCACAGAATTTGTGTCTTATAGCTTAATTTAGTGGTGCTGCACCTGTAAGAGAAAGGCCTGATAAGTATCGGCGTTTGTAAAAAGGAAATCCCCAGTCCGCTTCAGTTCTCCTGTTGCATTGAACACTTCCTCTAAATGAAAGCAGAAGCGCGGTAAAGTGATTCAAGACTCAAACACCAAAGCAAACACACTCGCAGAGAGCATTGTGAAGTGACTGCGAGAGGACAAAAGGTAAAAGGAATCACATGGTACAGAGGATCTGACTTGCTCCAGGTGGAAAAGAAAATAGAGAGAACTGGTTCAGCAGGTAAACTGGCATGGGATGACTGCGCGTATGTGGATCTGTTTGCTAACACACTGAGGTGATGCAGTAAATATTTGAACAAATCAAACCGAAAATCTCCAGCCTTCTCAAGATACAACTCGGAGGAAGAGTTTCCACTGCGGTAAGTCACCTTGAGCACAGTGTTACTGTGGCATGCTTTGATATCCATAATGCTTGCTTTCATTTCAGAGAAACACCTGTTAACCGTCAAAGGTTGTCGTAGTTTAGAAAGTGTTTAAAGGGTGATCAACAGGAAATTCTAAGAAATTGTGATGCTTGTATGAAGAGATTCACAGAAAAACTCTTGAATTGTTTAACATTGGTCACTTTCATGTTTATGTTTATAATATTATGCAGATTTTATATAGTCATTGCATGTAATTATTTGTGTATATACATTATCAATATGTTTTATCTAAGAAAATAATCGGATAAATGACAATTAATGAAAATGTCACAAGCTAAATTTTATATTTGCCTACTTTGTGTTGTTGATCTCATTAAGAAACAGTCCGTTGGAAGACTCGAGTTACAGGAAAATCTGGTAGTCGTAGTCAGAGCTGTTGCTGCAACATATTCATTGAAACATTTTACACACGAAACACTCTCAAAATATTGCTGTTTTGAATTTTCTATATAGAGAACAGTGAAAACTAAATAACTTCCTCAAATCATAACACTGTACATAAGCGCTGATAAGTACTGGAAGTCCACTGTACATTGTAGTGGACACTGTAAGTTAAATAGCTATGTAGAATATCAGAAAATATCATTTTTAACACAATCCCTGCTACCTCCATACATGAAAGCTTGTTCTTTGGCAATATTCAAATGAAAAGAAAAAATAAGAAATAGACACGAACTTGAGCCATACATTGTTAAAGTGCCCTCTAGTGGTTTGAGAAAACGTTGGTCCTTTTAGTCCCCTGAAAGAAAAATAAAAGAAAATCGTGAAGGAACTTACTGGACTTGCCATTTTATAACGCGTGCTTCAAGCAAAACGACAAATGGGTGACCAAACGAAAATTGGGTCAAATAGGATGTACTGTTTTATGATGTTCTACGTCAGGGGTGCCCAAATTCGGGGTGCCCAGGCTCTCCAACTTGCCTCAACAACACACCTGGATGTTTTTTAGAAAGCCTAGTAAGAGCTTAATTAGCTAGTTCATGTATGTCTGATTAGGTTTGGAACTGAACTTTTCAGGACACTGGCACCTCCAGTACTGTGTTTGGGCACCCCGTCTACATATTAAGCTGCTTTAACATCTAAATTGCAAAAAGCGCTTTAGAAATAAAGATGAATTGAATTGTTAAGAGCAGAACAGTCCACAATAGTGCATAAAACATTGAATACTACCTGCTTTAGTGCTTGCCATGTAGAACAACAGCGCTCTTGTGCAGACAGAAGAAACAGTCATTAAATAATGACCTGCTTTAAGGTGAGGCTGCGAACCGCACACGTGTTCATGCTTGTCGGTTGACTGAGGTTATCCGCTCCGCTGAGCTCCGTAGAGCACTCCTCAGATTTCAGCTCAGCTATTAATGCTTCACTCTCCTTTAGTCAGTACGTATCTGCACATTCATGCATTTTAAAAGATCGGTTAGTCTGAAAATACTGCGCTCGTGGCTTCTTTAAACGCGACGTTTGTGCGCATGCTCTGAAGAAGAAAATATTTTGACAGATAGATTTAAAGCTGGGGTGCCCAAACTTTTTTGTTATAAAGGGTGAGGGTCAAATACCAAACTTGATTGAGAGCCGTGGGCTGAAGGTAAATATATCAAGCTACATCATAGAAACATGACTTTAATTAAGGGGTGAAGCAGTGGCGCAGTAGGTAGTGCTGTCGCCACACAACTAAAAGGTTGCTGGTTCGAGCCTTGTCTCAGGGTCAGTTGGTGTTTCTGTGTGGAGTTTGCATGTTCTCCCTGCGTTCGCGGGGGTTTCCTCCGGGTGCTCCGGTTTCACCTACAGTCCAAAGACATGCAGTACAGGTGAATTGGGTAGGCTAAATTGTCCGTAGTGTATGAGTGTGTGTGGATGTTTCCCAGAGATGGGTTGTGGCTGGAAAGGCATTCGCTTCGTAAAACGTGCTGGATAAGTAGGCGGTTCATTCCATTGAATAATATAGGGACTAAGCCGAAAGAAAATGAATGAATGGTTTTAATCAGATTAAGTAATGCATTCTATGCATTTTTTTTTACGCTTTATAGGTAACCTATTTTAATGGGAATTCCATTTAAAGCACAAATGGCGAATGCACTAGTCAAGCTGCACCTGCCTTTGTCTTGATTTGCTTACTGAGGATTTCTGTGTTGTGGTGTATCCGTTGAGCAACAGGATGTTCATTACAAAAATAATAATAATAATTTACAACATATTATTGAAACATTTAAAGTAAGTTTTTTTGTACGTTAAAGTAAAACAAACAAATGAAAGTTTTCGTTAAATTAGAAATGACAATATGGAGTAAAGGTATTAACCATTCCCAACCCTCCCAAAATTTACCCTCTCTTGTCTGATGGGATGGCAGGCCAAATCAAAGCTTACCATGTGCCAACTTTGGCCCGCAGGCCCTACTTTCGGCTTCTTTAAAGGAACCCATAAATATTGTGATTGGCTGTGAGGAGTGGGGGAATGCGACAAACTTCTTACTTTCTGTAAAAAATGTCACAAATTGCAAGCTGTTCAGATATTTTGAAAGATATTCATTAAATATGCTGCCGTTACACTCAAAACTTCTTCAGGAAGCTTCCAACAATGTCCTTCACATATGTTGTGGTTTTTAATCACTATAGTGTCACTAACGTTTAGGGTTTGTGCTCTTGAAAAGGTTTGAACTTGAACACAGACTATTGCCACTGGCAGGGATGGGCAGTATTTATGATACATGAATTTCAAATATGTATTTCAAATACAAAAGTAGTATTTTGTCATCTGTATTTGATAAGTTTGATGAATATGGCTTAATATTTTGGATCAAAATACTTTAGTGCCTTGTATTTTTGTAGTTTCAAAATAATGTGAAATACTTCGCAAGAAGTCTACAGTACATGATGACATCTTAAAAATGGGGCCTCTGGTTCTTATGCAGTTATTTGCCTAAGATTGAGATCAGAACAGAAACTGATTATTTTTTAAGAAGGTGGTCAATGATTGGAGTATGGATAGAAATTATGCTTAAAAAGTAACAGACAAATGGTGAGGGTATATTCAGGAGCAAGTCAACAACCATTGAAAATAGTGTACCGAGCAATGCTAAGACCATGAATATATAATGGATGATAGTGTACAATTTTAGTATCTTTGCTTAAGAAATGGGATAAAATATAAAATATCAGTCCTGAAGAACAAGATTAAGAGCTTGAGAACTTCATCATTCTCTGTGTCAGTGCTACAGGTGAAATTGCAAAGAAACTTTAGAAATATAAAACACCTAAATATGATGCACTGGTGTTTTTAAGAGGAAAAACCGAGACTCTTTGAGTTAAAGAAGAACTGAAAGAATCTTGGGGGAATGAGTTTGCTGTACATATAACAGATGGATTGTAGTTTGTAACTCAGAGTCACAAAAGCTACATTTGGGTTACAAGTCCAACTCAATAACCAGGCCACAACTTTCCCCTATAGGTGAAAAAGTTATTGCTATCAAACATTGTTTACTTCCCTAAGTCAATTTAATGGTAAAGGGGTTGACACAATAGGCCTATTGAAGGAAGGTTTGCAAAGAAATTTCATCCTTCATTTTTTTTAAAGACAAAAAAACAGTATTTTATTTTGATACATTTATAGTGGCTGTATTTTGTAGTTTATTTTGACACACTTAAATCTAAATACATGACATTCGGATATGGCAAACGTTGTTACTTCAAAACCCATATCATTGTTTCTTATTTGTAACATAATAGGAGGTATTTTGCTGATTGCCACAAAAAATGGGCTAAAATAATTTGCCTTTCCAACTGTCAAAACACTTTACTTAACATTTACTATAGCCTTTAGTGTTACATGAAATAAAAATGCCTCTTCAAATCCATTATGAATGTGAACACAGTGGGGGCAGAGTGAATGCATAATGGAAGGTTATTCCATAGCTAAGGGCCGGCTGTTGAGGGGCCTGATGGGAATGCATTACCTGGAGCAACATTTTGTCAGCAGATCTCAAGATCTTACAAAATGCCCAAGACCGTTTAATAAAAAGGAACTATTACTAGGGCCTTGCAACCTATCTGATACCTAACCGGTAACCAAAGCAAAGAAATTAAAATTGGGGTAATTGATTCAATGCATCTTTTTTTCTCTACACAAGTTGTAACTGATTTATCAGCCTGATCTCAAGAGAAAACGTAAGTATTTTACAATTTGCCAGTTTAGTGGCTAATTCGTACAAATTCGTACGAGTTCAGTCGTACAAAATGGTACGATTTTAAAAAGGAGGCGTGGCACCTGACCCCACCCCTAACCCCAACCGTCATTGGGGGATAAGCAAATCGTACTAAATTGTACGAATTAGATCGTACGAATTCATACGAATTAGCCACTAAATGAAAAAGTTACGAATTGCCGTGAGATTGTGTTGGATTTATCAGTGTTTGGGAAAGCCACATTACAATAGTCTATATCTATATTACATGAAATCATGGATTATTGTCTCTTAATTTTAAGAAGTGAACAATGTTTTGATCTCGGTTATTAATCTTATTTAGTAAAAGATAATCTTCACAACAGAATTAACTAATGAAGGTTAAAACCAACTCCAGAAAAGCACTGCAACCTCATTAAAAGGTACTCTGAAAAAAATGTACTCTGCAAAAATGCTGGGTTCCACTCAATTTCTTCATGTTGTCTCAACACAAATCGATTTATGGGGGTGGCACATTGGCTCAGTTTTTTAGCACTGGTGCCTCACAGCACGAAGGTTGCTGGTTTGAGTCCCGACTGGGACTCACTGTGTTCGCCGGGTGCTCCGGTTTCCCCCACAATTTAAAGACATGTGCTATAGGTGAATTGGGTAAACAAAATTGGCCGTAGTGTATAAGTGTTTGTGCACATGTGAGAGTGTATGGGTGTTTCCCAGTACTAGGTTGCAGCTGGAAGGGCATCCGCTGCATAAAACATATGCTGGATTAGTTGGCGGTTCATTCCACTGTGGCAGCTCCTAATAAATGGGAAAAGGAATGAATGAAATCGATTAAGTTAACTTGTTTTATAAAGTAAAGTGGATTGAACATAAAACAATTAAGTTGTCCCTAAAAAGACTCAAGAGTTGTGTTGATTCAGCTCATTTTATATAAGTAGTTTGAATAAGCAGCAAAAATATTTTTTTTATGTACTCTCCCTTCAATTGTGCCAAACTTGTAGTTTCTTCTGTTGAACACAAAAAGATATTGAAGAACGCTGGTAGCCAAACAGCTGATTGTCCCACTGACTTCCACAATGTGGGGGAAAAAAGTCAATGGTAACCATAAACTGCACACAACAATCCTCTTTTGTTCTCAGCAAAATAAAGACTATTAAACCGGTTTGAAATAACAAGAGGGTGAGTAAATGTTGATAGAATTTTCATTTTTGAGTGAACTGTCCCTTCTTTTAAATGCAGGTTATTCCAGCAAGCATCTTTTTTTTCGGTCAGAGTGTGTTTTTGCTGCGTGAGACACGCTGGAACATCTGTTTCCTAAGCCTTCTTTTAAAGAGAAATGCATTCCTCTGAGCTACTTAGTCAATATTACCTTTCAAAAGACGATTTGAAAGTATATTTTGAGATAAAGACTGCTCTGAGGTCATCACTGAGTTGGGATTTATTTTTTAAATAGACTGAACAAAAGAGATGAAGCGTGGTTTGAGATCAGTGTTAATGAGCTGTTGGATAAAAAAACAGCTGTGCAGCAAGATTTGATCTATTGGCCAACCACACTGCCCACATGATGAAGGGCCTTTAATTTTGAATAATGAGAGAGCGAGAAAGAGTGGGTGAGTGAATGGTGGAGTTAGAGAGATTGATTGATGTTTGGAGGTGGAGTGAATGAGGAGGACAGATTCCCCTTTTCCCAACAGTCAGACAGTTTATCCAGTTCACAGCCATAAATGATTAGAGTTCATGACACCTTTAAAGGGCACCTATTATGCACAAATCACTTTTATAAGGGGTTTAAACACAGCTGTGTGGCAACAGTTTGAATATAACCAGCTTCTAGTGGTAAAAAAATAATTAATTGTATTTTTTATAATCATACTGGATACAAACAGCCTGCAGAAACACTTTGATTTTGACGAAAGCCATTTTTTCCTTTTGTATTGAAATTCCTTGAACAGTTTAGTCTGAAAGACAGCCGAACTCAAAAAACAAAAAATAAGTGATGTTAATCCAAAACTCAACATAAAAATTATTTAAAACTGATTGTCGTTGGCGCTAGTGGTGTAGTGGTTAGGGCGTCGACACATGCACTCCGGTGCTCGCGGCGACCCAGGTTTGATTCCGCCTCGCGGTCCTATGCCGATCCTTCCCCTCTCTCTGCTCCCCATGCTTTCCTGTCAATTATCTATACTTTCCTATCAAAAATAAAGGTGAAAACCCTAAAAAAATAATTATAATAATAATAATAAAATGAACAGCAGCTTGGACCGATACGTCATGACCTAACAAGCGAATTAGCGACAATCTCTCCCTCATTAGCATAGGATCCTTAGTCTTGTTTTTGAATCTGCCACTATGCTGACACATTTTTGGAAACTCACAAAAAAGGCAAAATTAAGATCAAAGCCTAATGCTGCGTTCACACCAAATGCGGATGAAGCATCAAGCACGAGTGATTTACATGTTAAGTCAATGAATAGACATCCAGCGGCATGATTTGCGTGAATGAGGCATCTCAAGTGACGCAATTCCAGTGAATGAATCGACGCAAGTT